GCTCGCGGCCCTGTCCCTGGACGCGGGCTGGGCCCCACACGTCCAGGTGGAGCGTCTGCAGTGGAGCCTCTGTGGGAGGAAACGAGGAGGAGTGAGGAGCGGCGCACTGCCGCCCCTCGACGCAAGGAATGCAGGGCGGCGCAGGCGAGGGAGGGAGGGCAGGCAGAGACCTGGGAAGACCAGAGACCAGGGAGCGAGAGTGCATGCTACGCAGGCGAGGCAAGGAGGGGTGACCAAGACGGTGGTGCCACAGGAGAGTGTCGTGCGACAAAGCGCGACACTCGCAGGGGGCCGCCAGCTGACCAGACGTAGACGCAGACGCAGCTACCTGAGGGGACTCAGTGGTCAGTGTGTACAGACTCGAGCCAGGTGCACGGGTGAACGTGGCCAAGTGCCGGCCCGTCCTAGCACACGTACAGTGAGTCACTTGCTGACTCGCAGGAGTGAACTGGTCAACCCCCTGATCCTGGAGGTCAGCTCCACTCACCAAGTTCGTAGAGAACGAGGGGAGGTAAAGACCTGACAGCGAGCCGGACGGGACGGCCGGACACGGCAGAACCGTGGAGTAGTGGGCAAGGACCGGACCCCCGGAGGGGTCCGCCAGGGAGACTGGAACTGGCCGATTAAGCGGCGTGAGTGTGGTGCAGTCGCGAAAGAAGGAGCGAGAAGCTCCTGAGTCAAGGGTGAAGGTGTGCGAGACCGTAGTTGGCGCAGTACCAGAGAGAGCAGACTCACCAGCACCTGAAGCCACGGCCTCACCAGTACCTAGAGCAGTAGACGTACTAGCACCGAGAGCAGCAGCCTCACCAGCACCTAGAGCAGGAGACGCACTAGCACCTAGAGCAGCAGCCTCACCAGGGTCAGGCGGTACGCACAGAGAACAGGCACGATCAGCACTAGTAGGCAATGCATACATGGCAGTGAGAATAGCATCATAGTCAAGCGCAAAGATATCTACCCTCTGTCCATGCAGCTCCAGCCAGGTGGGGAGCTCAGCCTCGTCGCCAAACACTGTGCGCCAGTCGTCGCTCAGACGGGCGAAGCAGCGGGACTGTGTGTGACCAAGCGTCCCACAAGGCTGACCAGTCCTAGCACCTGTGCGAATGACGTACGGGCAGCGAACTGTACGCGTAGACCTGCTACACTGAGCGTACCACTCCTGGAGCTGCCGGGGCGTAAGTGTCTCACGTGGACGCCCCTGCAGCTGCAGCTGGCCACTGCCAGACGCTCCCAACTGACCAGCTCCAGGGCGACAGCTACGACGGCTACTGCGACAACCCCAGCTAGTATACCACTCACTAAGCTGCTGGGGCGTCAGAGGCTCGCGTGAACGTCGCTGGAGCTGCATCTGGCCACCTGCCAGTAGCAGTAGCAGCAGCAGTAGCGCGGGCAAGGCAGGCGCGGCAGGCAGGCAAGCAAGCAGGCAGGCAGGCCGGCAGGCAGGCAGGCAGGCAGGCAGGCAGGCAGGCAGGCAGGCAGGCAGGCAGACAGGCAGGCAGGCAGGCAGGCAAGCAGACAGACAGGCAGGCCGGCAGGCAGGCAGGCCGGCAGGCAGGCAGGCAGGCAGGCAGGCAGGCAGGCCGGCAGGCAGGCAGGCAGCCAGGCCGGCAGGCAGGCAGGCAGACAGGCAGGCCGTCAGGCAGGCAGGCAGGCGCTCACCAAAGGCTGGGAGAGCAGGCGCTCACCGGGCGAGCAGGGCCGGCGCTCGACGGGCGGCGGCCGAGTAGGCGCACGACAGCGGCGGCGTCGGGGCCGCAAAACCGGCTGCAGAGCAGGGCCGAAGCAGCTGCAGGGCGGGGCCGCTTCAGCGGCAGTAGCAGGGTGGGGCCGCGTCAGCGGCAGGTCGGGGCCGTGGCAGCTGCAGGGCGGGGCCGCATCAGCGGCAGGTCGGGGCCGTGGTAGCTGCAGGGCGGGTCCGCATCAGCGGCAGGTCGTGGCCGAGGCAGAGGGCCGCGCGCGGCTCGGCGCGGGCTGCGCTGACAGCGCGCTGAGCTGCTGCAGGCCGCGCGCGGCCGCGCTAGGCAGTAGCGGGCCGCGCGCGGCTCGGCGCGGGCTGTTGCGGGCCGCGCGCGGGCCGCGCGAGGCAGTAGCAGGCCGCGCGCGGCTCGGCGCGGGCTGCTGCGGGCCGCGCGCGGGCCTCGCGAGGCCGTAGCAGGCCGCGCGCGGCTCGACGCGGGCTGCGCGGGCTCGGCGCGGGCTGCGCGCGGCAGCTGCAGGCTGCGCGCGGCTGCAGCGGGCTGCGCGCGGCTCGGTGCGGGCTGCGCGCGGCTGCAGCGGGCTGTGCGCGGCTCGGCGCGGGCTGCGTGGGCTCTGTGCGGGCTGCGCGCGGCTGCAGCGGGCTGCGCGCGGCTCGGCGCGGGCTGCGCGGGCTCTGTGCGGGCTGCGCGCGGCTGCAGCGGGCTGCGCGGGCCTTACGGGCCTCTAGGGGCGGCGCGTGGGCCTTACGGGCCTCTAGGGGCAGCGCGCTGGCCTAGGGCAGCAGGAGGCAGCGCTAGGGCTGCTGGACGGCGCACATAGTGCAGCACGGCACAAGGCAAGGCAAGGCAGGCAGGTACGTGGGGTAGCGCGGTAACCGCAGCGGTAGGTGGGCCCGGAAAAAAAAAAAAAAAAAAAAAAAAAAAAAAAAAAAAAAAAAAAAAAAAAAAAAACGGTCCTACGGACCTTAGTGCTCTGAAACCATGTCAGAATCTAGCAGCAGGAATGGATGAACTAGCAGCATGCAGGAGTACAAGTAGTAAACCCTAATTGGGCTGTACCCCATATGGGCTACCCCACTACAGCCTAGACAATATGCAGCATATATGTTTGACAATTAGGCCACCTCAGCCCGCTAAGTTCTTCAACCAGAGCAAGCGACAGCCCTGGTGGCACATCTTCCAGTACATTACCTGAGTTCGTGTCCGTAGGGATGACATGTCAACATTGGCAGTATCAACCCGAAGCGCGCAAACATAGAGTGTCAAGCACTGTAGCTTCGGTGTCAAATCGAAGCGCAGCAGGGAATCCTGCGACGGAAGCTCATTGGTTGGGCACAAGTTTGAGTACACAGGCGACCCCTTGTACGGACTCGCAGTCGCACGAAGTTCAGCATCCGTCGATTAGGCAGGTGTGGTCGTCTGTAATCTCGACGCCATCAATGTGGTTGGTTGGATAGTTTCTTTATTTTCGCAGAGCTGGAAGTCCGACGAATTTTACCGGCTGGCAGTTTGGTGTCGTTGACACTCTGCCAACAATGTTGGCAAGTGTCAAAATCACAAGTTGACACTCAAATGCTTGACATGTCATCCCTACGGACACGACTTGAATCCTGTTGCTCCTCGGGCCTGAATTGAAAAAGGGCCCCAAGCACCCATTTTCAACCACGCTGCCACGGCGCTAGTAAGCATCCAGTGAGCACTCTTCTCTGTTTACTCCTGCACTCAGTTCCTCCTAGGAGAGTCTCCCGAACTCTGTGCCATGGCAGCCATTCTTCGCAGTCCGGCTCCACTCTCCGGCTATCGTCTCACTCCGGTCTGCAAGAGACGCGGCGGCGGAGGCGGAGGCAGGAGCAGCGGCGGAAGCGGAATTTCCCGGGAGGCCGCTCTTGAAATCCAGCGTCTCGATGCGCGCATGGGCGAATCGGGAAAGGGTTCCGCGGCGGCTGCGGCGCAGAGAGCGGCGGATGCGCCGTGGAAGGTGACAACACGAAACGCCGCAACGCTGCAGAGCTTCATGAACACGCATTTCGGCGATATTGAGAAAGGGTCGTTCGTTTCGGAGGTGCAAAGGCAGGCTGCGGAGAACGGCAAGTAAGGAGAAGCGCGTTGGACGCACGCACTTCCAACTGAATGCTGGACAGAGGCCTCGGTATTGCATGGTTGGCGGAGTTCAGGAAACTCGATTCTAAATTGCAGGGGAGTTGTTATTGTTTGTGTACAGTGACTTGAGATTTTGTAAATACAGAAGTGTATATGATGCATGGGCAAGTGGGCATAACGATTGTTTTGTGAGTCGTGGGTGAGGGGAGGTGAAACCTGCTTACCTTCACGAAACATGTTTCGGACATATGCAAAACTTAATTCAATGTGTACAGATTCACATGCTGGTCACATCCTCTATACGTGTTATAGCACCAGCTAGAACCAGAACATACTATGCGGGGGGTTGACTGCTTCACGGTACCGCGTACCTAAATAACATCATGCAGGAAATAACCGCCTGCACGATATAGCTAGTGCATGCGCGGCGCCATTTGAGGCACCTTGATAGCCAGCATCATGCATGAGATAACCGCATGTCACACCATAGAGTGGATGCGCGGCGCGTACCACATCAAGCATGAAATAACCGCCGGTACTACCGCATGATGCGAGGCGCGTACAACCTTACCCACTGTGAACTGCAAACTTGCATTAACGCCAAGGGCACGCCTTGCTCACGCGATATGTCGCGCTTCGAGCACATTATCTGAGCGAGTCGCCTTCGCGCGACATTAGCCTTCAGGCGATTGGAACCGCAACACCAGTGACTTCTCTTCCTGTGGAGGGACGGAATCGAGCATGATACATGATCTGATATAAATATTTACTTACCCTTTTCGTGTTTAATGTCGGTTTCTTTCTGATGCTCTTAGGCCGTTGTATGTTGAGTACCGCGACTGAATCACTCCCACTTTCGACCTACCAAAATGGCTACCGTCATTCGAATCGCCGCCTGTCATAGCTGCCTCACGGTTCAGATGGCTAAAGGCGGCGGAGGCGGAGGGAAGGGCGGCGGAGGTAAAGGCGGGGGCGGAGGAAAATCCGGAGGCGGAGGCAAGGGCGCCAGCAGCGGCGCTAAAACGGGCGGCGGCGGCGGTAAGGGCGCCCCGGTTTCCGGCAAGACAGCCTCTCAGATCCAGAGTTCTTTCGCGAAGATGGGCGGCGGAACTGTGGCGAAGGGTTCCGCCGCAGCTGCGGCGCAGAGAGCGGCGGCTGCGCCGTCTAAGGTGACTGGGGGCGACGCCGCGGCGCTGCAGAGTTTCACTGCGAAGACGACTGGAGGCGTGGAGAAGGGATCGCCTGCGTCGCAGGTTCAGAGCACGGCGGCGAGCAACGAGGCAGGGCAGGGGGAATAGGGGAAGCAGAGGTGGAATAGGAGATGAATGGGCGGGATGAGGGTAGGAGAAATTTTTCGCGTTTGTCGATGTTTCGTGTTTGTATAAAGGTGTACCTTAGGCGGAAATATCCTTTCCTTGAGCACAGAAAAATGCTTGTACGGCTATTTGTTTTTGGGTTGCGTAGCAACCCTTTATATTTGGTCTCACATTTTGGGGATATCATTCTGAGAGTGAGTGCGTTAGTGAATTTTGAGTTTGACTCAGGAGCTTCGCACTCTCACATGCACTTGTCGTCCTGTGGGAGAGGAAGAGGGAGTGAGTGACCGTGTGTGTGTGTGTGTGTCACTTCTGAAAATTCTCAAAAACGTGAGTGTGGCTTTTGAGTTGCAGGGAGAGCAGTGAGCAATGCGCAAGGAGCGGTGAGCAGAGAGGACAGAGGAGAGAGGAGAGTAGTGCGAGGAGCAATGAGCACCTTACGTGAGTGGGGGTCATGGTGCCACCCGTGCATAAGCTGCTGCCGACACACACGCCTTGTAATGAGCTGGGAGCGTAGCCAAGAGCTAGGAACAGCGAAAGAAGAGCAAGAGCACGGAGCAAAGAGGAGCACCTTACGTGAGTGGGGGTCGTGGTGCCGCCCGTGAGCCAGCTGCTGCCGACACGCACATTGTTGTAAGGAGCTATGACCAGAGCCAAGGAGCAAGGAGCAGTGAGCAAAGAGCAAGCGCAGGAGCAAGAGCAACGAGCAGTGAGCGGGGAGGAGCAATGAGCACCTTACGTGAGTGGGGGTCGTGGTGCCTCCTGTGCGTCAGCTGCTGCCGACATGCGGCTTGTACTGAGCTGTGAGCAGAGCCAAGAGCTAGGAGCAGCGAGAAAAGAGCAAGAGCACGAAAGAGAGCACCTTACGTGAGTGGGGGTCGTGGTGCCGCCTGTGAGCCAGCTGCCGACACCCCCCACCATAGCAGGCGGGCGCCACGTCACAGTGGCAGAAGCTACAAGTCCCATCAGGGCACGAGCAGAGAGCAGTGAGAAGAGAGCAGTGCAGCGAGCAATGCGCAAGGAGCAGTGAGAGAGCAGAGGGCAGAGGGCAGAGAGAAGGGATCAAAGAGGAGCAATGAGCACCTTACGTGAGTGGGGGTCGTGGTGCCTCCCATGCGTAAGCTGCCGGCACGCGCCACCGTAGCAGGCGGGTGCCACGTCACAGTGGCAGAACCGGGCAGCAAAGTGCCGCAGATCGATGGTTCGGATGAGAGCGGGCGGCAGAGTCTTGAAATCAAGGATATCAGCCATGGACACATAGCCCTGGGAGGGTGGTGGAGAGGAGAAACGGACTAGAACAAATGAGAAGGAGCAACATGATAGTGAGATATCGAGCGCATCGGCCATGGACACATAACCCTGCAGGGGGTTGGATTGAACCGCCACGTCACAGTGGCAGAACCGAGCGGCAAAGTGCCGCACGTCGATGGTTCGGATGAGCGCGGGCGGCAGAGTCTTGAAATCAAGGATATCGGCCATGGATACATAGCCCTGGGGTGGGGAAAGGGTGTGGAGGATGGGGGGAAGGGTGGGACAAGGGACACAGGGAGCAAAGTGCCGCAGATCGATGGTGCGGATAAGAGCGGGCGGCAGAGTCTTGAAATCGAGGATATCAGCCATGGACACATAACCCTGGGGGGGTGTTTGGAGGAGGGGGAGGGTGGGACACGGGACACGTGGAGGGCGAAGTGCCGCAGAGTAGTGACCCCATGTCAGAGTAGTGACCCCATGCATCATGCCGTGTCCGGTCCGGCTTGGTGGGGTTTCACCCAAACCCAACATACCACTCCTACTCCCACCCTTTCTCCACCATTTCCCCTCTCCTCGCTTCTCACCTTGCCTCCGCGCATCATGTCAGAGTAGTGCCCCCACGCGTCATGCCGTGTCCTGTCTGGCTTGGTGGGGTTTCGATCGCACCGGCCGATGCCAGATGACTTGGCGAAGTGGGAGAGCTTAGGTGGGATGATGAGCGTCCGGTTGAGAAGGCCAGCAAGGCGAAGGCCCCACACCAACTGAATCACCTGCAATGGGCAGATAAGGAGGGCAAGGGGAGGAGGGAGCAAAGCGGTCGCAGCACGAAGGCTTGTCCTGTCCGGCTTGGTGGGGTGCCTCAATAGTCGATCATGCCGTGTCCTATCTGGCTTGGTGGGGTTTCTGTCGCACCGGCCGATGCCAGACGACTTGGCGAAGTGCGAGAGCTTGGGTGGGATGATGAGCGTTCTGTTCAGGAGACCTGCTAGGCGAAGGCCCCACACTAATTGGATGACCTGCAATGGGCAGACAAGGAGGGTAAGGGAAGGGGAGGAGGGAGCAAAGGGGTTGCGGCACATTCATGCCTTGTCCAGTCCGGCTTGGTGGGGTGCCTCAATAGTCGATCATGCCGTGTCCTATCTGGCTTGGTGGGGTTTCTGTCGCACCGGCCGATGCCAGACGACTTGGCGAAGTGCGAGAGCTTGGGTGGGATGATGAGCGTTCTGTTCAGGAGACCTGCTAGGCGAAGGCCCCACACTAATTGGATGACCTGCAATGGGCAGACAAGGAGGGTAAGGGAAGGGGAGGAGGGAGCAAAGGGGTTGCGGCACATTCATGCCTTGTCCAGTCCGGCTTGGTGGGGTTGCGATCACACCGGCCGATGCCAGACGACTTGGCAAAGTGGGAGAGCTTGGGTGGGATGATGAGCGTTCGGTTGAGCAGACCTGCTAGGCGAAGGCCCCACACCAGTTGAATCACCTGAAAGAGGCGGGGGTAATGGGGAGGACGGGGGGAGAATGAGCAAAGTATGAGAGCTTGGGCGGGATAATGAGTGTTCGGTTCAGGACCCCAAGCCCCAGATTTTGCCCACATCAGGTTTGGGAATGATCAGGACCCCACACCTGATTAATTCCAAACCTGATAATTCCCAAGCCCCAGATTTTGCCCTCCTGGTTACCAGAATCCAAATTTCTCCCACCTGGTTACCAAAGCCCCCATGGCTGGCGAACCACATGAACTTCTCATCAGGCCGCAGCACCCACTCGTCTCCCCCTCTCCTCCCCCCATGCTGCGCCTCCCCTTCCCCCTCACCTCCCCCTTCCCCCTGACCTCCCCCTTCCCCTCCCGTTTCCCCTCCCTCTGGCTCGATTCCTGTGGTTGGAATTTCCCCTGCTCCTGGCTGTTGTAATTCCGTCCCCCCACCTCTCCCCTCCTCCCCACCTTGCCCCATCAATGCAGCAGCTGCAGCTGAATCTTCCCCCAAGCTCCCCATTCCTACTCCCCCTTCCCCCCTGCTTCCCCCCCTGCTTCCCCCATCGCCTGGCATCAGCACTCGTAGCAATGACGCGCCCTCTTCCTCTTTCAAAATACTCACACTTCCCCCTCTTCCCCCCCTTCCCCCAACCACTTCCGCCACCCCTGCATTCCCCCACGCTCTCTTCTTCCCCCCATTCCTCCGCCTCCGCCTCTCATTCCCCCCCGCTCTGTCCTTGCACGAGGGGTGGGTGGAGAGATGGGCGGAGGGATGGGGGGAGGGATGGGCGGAGGGATGGGGGGAGGGATGGGCGGAGGGATGGGCGGAGGGATGGGGGGAGGGAGACACCCAGGTTGCGCCAGCAGAGGGGGAAGGCGGGGGAGGAGGGGGAGAGGCAGCCGTTTCGGTGCAGCAGAAGGGTGACGAAGAGGAGGAGGAAGGAGAAGGCGACTTCGAGGAGAGTGGTGAGGCGGAACCGACACATCAACCAAGGGGCTGGGGATGGGGGGGGGAAGGGAGGGGGGGTGGAAGGGCGGGGGGGAGAAGGGTCGGGAGGGAGAGGGGGGAGGGTGAGAGAAGGGGGAGAGGCAGTCATTACGGTGCAGCAGAAGGGTGACGAAGAGGAGGAGGAAGGAGAAGGCGATTTCGAGGAGAGTGGAGAGGCGGAACCGACACATCGACCAGGGGACTGGGGGAAAAGGGGGTTGGGCGTGGGGACAGGGAGGGGCGGGGGGGGAAAGGGGCGGGGGGAGGGAGAGAGGGGAGGGTGAGAGAAGGGGGTGAGAAGCAGCCATTACGGTGCAGCAGAAGGGTGACGAAGAGGAGGAGGAAGGAGAAGGCGATTTCGAGTAGAGTGGCGAGGCGGAAACGACACATCGACCAGGGGGCTGGGGGAGGGGGGAGGGGGAAGGAGGAAGGGGGAAGGGGGAAGGGGAGAAGAGGAAAATCAGGGGGGGTGAGGTAGGGAGAAGGAGAAGGGGATAAAGGGGAACACTCAGGCGAGAAGAGGGAGGCTCAGGGAGAGGCAAGCACAAAGAGAACTAAGCCTGAGTCGCTTCTGAAAGGGTAGAGCGCATGGTCTCAAGCGAGCACGGGACACTACGCTCCTCACCTGATGTGAAAGGTGAGCTGGCAGATGCTGCTTGCGACGCTGACGGGCTGCTGCCACGTGGCAGCCACGATCGCTGCCGCCCCACGCGGAGCTTCCTCCCCGTTCCCCCGCCACTGCCGCCGCTTCCGCTTCCGCCGCCGGCGCTGGCGCTGGCGCTGGGACTAGGAGTTAAGCCCGCCTTCGCTGCGAGGTTACTCTTAGCTGTGAATCCAATTCCCGCCGCGGCTGTTGCGGCGGCAGTGACGGCCGACGGACTGCCGGCAGGGGAGACGGACAGGCTTCTGGAACGGCTGCCGACGGCAATGGCGACGCCGGCGCCGTCATTTGCGGCGGAAACCGCGGCGGCGCCGCCGGAGACGGAGATTGCGGGGAGGGCGGAAATAACGCCGTCGGCGCGCAGTCGATCCGCGGACATCGATTCCGCAGCGGACATCAGGTCTGCCGGCACGGCTTCGGAAGCGGCGCGAGCGACCGTCGCGATGGATAGCGGCGGCGGCTCGTCATCTTCCGCGCGTTGCGCGGCGGATTTCGCGGCCGCACGTTTCGACTTGGGGTTCTTCTTCGGCATGTGGACTAATTTGCTGATAAATTTTAACGTGCTGGGAACATATTATAAAGCTGGACGAAGACTTACCCGGCAATTAGTCACCAATTAGCATTTACCCATCAAGGCGCAGGACAGATCATTCTAGACTATGAGCATCTCTGGGAGTCATTATCGCACTGCTGTACGGTTGATGGTTGATGTGGGCGTGTGTACTATGTACTGAACTCCGAAAGTTGGTTGGCGACAATACCGCGGATCACCAGACAATACCGCTGGTCTTCGATACAGTTTTCTGCGTTTTTCTTCGACTGCTACACCTACTAACGACCTGCTAAAATGTGTCTCTCTTCGAATTGGCAACCCCCATCAGGGCCTGTGCTAGGATTTAGGGCACCCTGAGCCCTCAGGGTAACTTTTGAAAAATTTCTGAAATGCCCTGATTTTCCAGGGCAAAATTCCCTGGCCATCCTGAAATTTCAGGGCACCAGCAAAAATTCATCCGGATGATTCAGGGCAAAAATTACAAGGCACTGGAGAGGATGGAGGGGAAGGCACGAAAGGAGCAGGTTGCTCACTGGTTTCACTGCTGGCTGAGCAAAAACATTGGTGGGGGAGGGGTGGGGACAGAACTACTAGCACACACACCCCCAGCCTCCTTCCCCCCCTCTCTCCCTCTCCCCTTCCACCCCTTCTCCCCTTCCCACGAGTCAGGGCATCCCTCTACATTCACCCTAACGCTTCAGGGCAAAATTTCACTGCCATTCTGAAATTTCAGGGCAAAACACATGGATCATCCTGAGGTTGCAGGGTAAATTTCAGCGTCATTCTGAAATTCCAGGGCAAACTTAAAACACCATCCTGAAATCAGGGTAATCAGGATGTTTTGCCCTGATATCGTGGGCCCTGACCCCCATTCCAGTTACAGAAAGTTTCCTACTTGCGGCTTTGTACGCTGTATTGCGTGAAACTAGAGGCAAATTCTGTCACGCCACCAAAACCATCGATCTTCACCGTCCCTTGAAAAAGGGAGCTCACCTCACCGTACGATCATCCCACCCCACTTCTTCCGTCCTATCCCTTGTTTCCTCTTTCGCACGGCCTGTACACGCCCTCCGTCTGGTGAAGGCCATAGCTTTGCATCTCTCTTCTCTTCATGCCCTCTACGCTATTTCTCCCTCCTGTCATTCCTCGTACGACTTCACCCAATGCTCCTTTTTGTCATGTGACTGACCTTTGTTAGAATCTAGCAGCAGGAATGGATGAACTAACAGGATGCAGGAGTACAAGTAGTAAACCCTAACTAGGTTGTACCCCATATGGGCTACCCCACTACAGCCTAGACAATATGCAGCACATATAGTTTGACACACCCCCATAGGCAAAGTGGGGGAGAACAAGGGGTCACACGACCAGTCAAGAGAAGCAAAACAAGCTCAGGGTGGATCACAACGTCACCACGCATTCTGAGCACAAGCAAAGGGCCACTGGGCCAGTTCACATGCAGAGATATATATGCAGCAATAACAGTACAGTGATGGCTACCTAGCAAGAGCCAGCATGCATATATATATATATATGTACAGATCACAGTACAAGCAGAGACTACAGCAAGTGTGGAAACGTAGGCACAAGGCCTAACAGAGTACAAAAGCGCTGATGATCACCAGACGGAAGTGCCTTGGTGAATATGTCAGCAGTGTTGGCCCGAGTGGCCACGTGGCGAAGACGAAGCTGGCCTCGCTGCTGCAACTCTCGAGCCAGGAAGTACCGCAGAGCAATGTGCTTCGTTCTGTGCTCCAGTCTGTGCTCCTCACACAAGGCAATGGCGGCCTTGTTGTCAACGTACAGCACTGGAGGAGAACGAGGCTGCTCTCCCAAGTCAGTCAGCAGGTAGGTGAGCCAGCGTAACTCCTGTGCAGCCATGGCGGTGGCGTAGATCTCAGCCTCACAACTGGAGCCGAGAACTGAAGTCGAGCGTGTAGAACGCCACGAAACTGAACCAGAGCCAAGGCTGAAGGTGTAACCCTGTGACGACCGCTGAGTAGCCAGGTCGTCAACCCAAGAAGCGTCTGAGTGCCCAGTGAGGACAACTGGGCTCGTCCCTCCAAGCACTAGCCCCATGCCTGATGTGCTGCACAAGTAACGCAGTACCCTCTTAGCAGCAGCCATGTGCTCAGGTCGGTGCCGACCAGGAGCCACGTAGCGAGCCAGGAGACCAAGAGGGTATGCGAGGTCAGGTCGAGTGCAAGTCATCAGGTACATGAGGCAGCCGACTAGCTCTGGGTAAGGACCACTCGGCTCTACGGACTCGTCCGAAGGTGGAGCTGAGAGCGTGTGACCTGTAGCCAGAGGAGTGGCCTGTGCTGAAGACCAGGTGAAGCCGAAGCGCTGAAGGACCTGCTGCACCATGTGTGACTGAGTCAAGGTGATGGTGCGACGTGCTCTGTCTCGGGTGATCTGCAAGCCAAGGTAGCTGCGCAGCTCACCCAAGTCTGTGCACGTGTGTCTCTTCTGCAGCTCCGACTTCACGTGGGCGAGAGCCTCAGTGTCAGCAGTGGCAAAAACCAAGTCGTCGACATACACGAGGATGTAGAACGGCGGCAGGGAAGTGTCGGTGCGCAGAAACAGCGACGGGTCAGCAGTAGAAGGCGCAAACCCAAGAGCCGCAAGCGTAGTCCTCAGTGTGTCGTGCCACTCACGTGGCGCCTGGCGGAGACCGTAGACCGGCCGCCGGAGGCTCCACTGGGTGCCAGGAGGGAACGACCCAGTGAAGCCCGGGGGGCGGCGCAGCCAGATCTCCTCGTGCAGGCTGCCCTGCAAGAAAGCTGTGCTGAAGTCAAGAGAGTGAAGCTCGTAGTCACGGTGAGCAGCAACATGCAGCAGCACCCGAAGAGTGGTCATCTTCGGGGTGGGGGAGAAGGTCTGGAAGAAGTCAACTCCCTCTCGCTGACTGAAGCCTCGAGCCACGTAACGCGCCTTGAAGACAGGCGGAGAACCCGGCGGCCGCTTCACCCTGAAAATCCACATGCCACTGACGATGTTCGCCCCAGGTGGGGGAACCTCGTCAACGTAGGTGCCTGTGGACTTCCAGGAAGCCATCTCTGCGTCCATGGCTGCCTGCCACTGAGAGGAGTAGGGACCCTCTATCGCCTCTGCGTAAGAGCGCGGAGTCGGGATGTCTGGTGCATCCGGGTCTCCCTCAGGGGCAAGTAGCGAGGACACAAGATGAGGTAAAGCAGCAGCAAGGCACTGGAACTCCTCCTGCCTGTCCTCAAGGACGTCCGTGCTAAGAGCACACTCACCCCCGACGGACGGAGGACAGACAGACTCAGACTCAGTAACAAGACTGGCAGTGAAGTCTAGACGACAGGCAGCAGCAAAGTCAACAAGCTCAGCGACAAGAGCAGACGCAGCAGCAGACTCAAACGACGGGTCAGTGACAACTGTGGCTAGTAGACGCGTGACAGTAGGGTGCTGAGCACGAAACCGGTCAGACGCAGGGTCCGGAACGTCAGGCAAAGAGGACGCAGGAGGAGACGGCAGAGGAACAGGCTGCGGAACAGAGGAAGGACGACGGACTACGAGGTGCGCGCTGGGGACAGCCGGCGGACGCGAACGAGGAACACGAGGACCGGTACGACCAGGACGAGCAGGCGAGACAGGACGCGACGCAGGCTCACGACGCACAGCAGGACTACCAGTCAGCTCAGCGTAAGGAGAAGGAGCAGGCAGCGGCGAGCCAGTCTGTAACGGAAGACCAGTAGACGACGGAAGAGTAAGAACCTGACGAAGAACAGAGGCAGACGGCGGCAGAGACGACGGAGACGGCGGAGCGAAGAACAGTCGTGTCGGCGCAGCTGCACCAGAACCAGCAGCTCCAGCAGCTCCAGTGCCTCCAGCAGCTCCAGTACCTCCAGCAGCTCCAGTACCTCCAGCAGCTCCAGAAGCTCCAGGCCCAGAGCCGACACCTCGAGTCCCAGGGTCTCCAACCTCTGTGTCTCCAGCAGCAGCACCCCCAGAACCAGCACCTCCAGTCCCAGGGTCTCCAACCGCAGGGTCTCCAGCAGTAGCACCCCCAGAACCAGCACCTCCAGCTCCAGGGTCTCCAACCTCAGCGTCTCCAGCAGCAGCACCCCCAGAGCCAGCACCTCCAGTCCAAGGGTCTCCAGCCTCAGTGTCTCCAGCACGAGCCCCTCCAGAACCAGCAACTCCAGCACCTCCAGTAGACAAAGGACCAGCACGACTCCGAGCTCCAGCAGCGCGACGCTGACGGCGACCGTACCAGTCCTGCAGCTGCTGTGGGGTGAGAGGCACACGGGGACGAAGGCGGCCACTCCAAGGAGACCGCGCAACAGCAGACTCAGAACCCTCAGCGCCCGCACCCCCAACGGCTCCAGAACCTCCGGTGTCAGTACCCTCAGCACCAGTACCTCCAGCGACTCCAGAACCTCCAGCGCGAGCACCCTCAACAGCTCCAGGACCTCCAGCTCCAGCGCCACCAGGACTAGGCCCTCCAGCAGCTCCTGAACCTCCAGCGCCAGCACCCTCAGTAGCTCCAGAACCTCCAGCGTCAGTACCGCCAAGCTCAGCACCCCCAGACCCCTCACACGCAGGCTCAGCACCACCAGGCTCTACACCCTCAAGCTCCGCACCCTCAGGCTCAGTACCCCCAGACTCAGCACCCCCAGGCTCCGCACCCCCAGGCTCAGCACCCCGAGCAGGACCACTCGCAGGAGGACCTGAGTCACCAGTGACCTCAACCGGCGCAGTCAAGGGAGGAGGGTCTACCTGAGAAACACCTGAAGGAGCAGGACCGGGAGCGGGGAGGGGGTCTACCTGGGGAGCACCTGGAGCAAGGAAGAGCGGCGGGGGGGGGAGCGAGGCAGTGCGGTAGGGGAAGAGACGGTAAAAGGGAACCGACTCGTCGAACGTGACGTCCTGAGACGCAAAGACACGGCGCGAGGTGGGGTGGTAAAACTGCCAACCAGGCGCGTCAGGGACAAAGCCAAGGAAGACACAGG